CAAATGGTTTTTGCATTCAAAATCTGAAATCTCCAAATGGGTTTTATAAAAAGACTCATAAAATGTGTGGAAGCTCTGTTCCGCATAAGTTGTGTAAATTTCACTAAGGATTTCTACTCCAAATGTGACTAACTTTAATTACTCACATCAACGTGTTTTTCTCAAAATTTCCTACTGCCCAGTTTCAAAAACGCTTATACTTATCGTCTATTTGAGTCTTTTTTTTATAAATCTCAAACTATGCGGAAAAGGAAATCATTGATTTTAGGCCTTCTCTGAGCTGAAGAGCTGCAGAATTTCTTTAAATGGCAGTGGCGGAAGTCTACGAAAATAGCTTGTCCAAGCACCTACGATTGTGCCAAGGATGTTGTATGTGTATCTCACAGCACTGTCGCTATCGTGTCCATCTAAATACCTTATCTCATCTCGCGACACTCGTCTTCCCTACTACTGTATGGGGAGACAGTACGGACAGATAGCTCGTCAGCGATGATGCGATAATTGCTCAACCAACTCCTGTTCTGTTGACAAATATGAGCCGGAAACGTTCAAGGGTTGGCATTGATTTTGCAACTGAGGACAAGATTCGCTTCTAGCAGGGCAGGTAAGAGCGAGTTTGGTTTTCTCCGATGCTTTGAACATTGCTGTCGATTCCTTGTCCTTTTCAGGCGCCGCAAATCGAATCAAGCAATCATCGATGGTGTTATCGAATGCCATGACAGTTTCAAAATGATGTCTTCTCTCTTTCTTTGCAAGGGCGCGACAATTTCCAAACACGAACTCATCTATCTATACTAGCGCCAAGGTAGAGTAATTCCGTATAACGAAAAACTGCCTGCTTCGCCTCAGGCGGGCTTAGAAAAAAAAACAACACTGCTGATGAAATGTTGCAGGGATCGATTCCTGCGAGATGTTGGCGTAAAATTGGAAGCAATTGCTAATGTTGCACTGTGGTTGACACCTCGTAATTTGCAGCTATGCATAGAAGGATGAGACCATCTGCCGTCGTGACAGCACAATTACATAACGCGACGAGATATGTGTAAGGCGCGATATGTTGCCTGACGCAAACTTGCAGAACATATCATTCGACCATGGAAATCTTGTATCGCAATCAGACACTATTACGCAATCAATCATATTCTACAAC